GTTTTTCGCTTAAAAGCAGCTTGTAACAGCCTCTCGGGGTTCCTTCCCCTTGTGGCTGAGGAACCCTGACGCGCCAGCAATAAACCTGCCTCTTGCTTTTTGCATCGATTCGTGATTGTGAGTGGTCTTTGGGTAGGCGACCCCCGGGGTGGGCACAACAATACATTAGAAGCAACTTTATAGTTGCTTTAAACTAATATAGGTTGATTACAGTGTAACTCTAAGACCAGAAAAGAAATGTCAGTTACTTACCTGTATAATTTTTTCCCCATAGGTGTGTTGTCTCTGGCAGCTGTTTAAAAAGTCCTTCCTCCCTCTTCCTCCCTCCCCACTGTGGAATACTTAGGCTGAGTCTACCCTAAGACTTTGCTTGTCTGTCATTTCCTCCACAGAATTGGGTAATCCGGAGAAATTCTATTAGAGTTCCTAATATAGCCACAAAAAGGTATAGGCCTTTTTTAGAGGGTGATGTGACTATATTGACATTCAAAGCAAGACTAAAAGCCCTTTCATCTCTGAGCAGCTCAGAAGCTGATGTAACTGACTGTAACAGCTAACAATGATAATCTTACCTTTTTCTACTAAGAGAATAAATGTGAATTTCAAAAAAAGAACATTATAAAATCAGAATATTTAACTCTACATTATAAATAACAGCACCAATACTCAGAATATTCCCATTAATAAATTACTTACATGAGAAGAGAAAATAATCTAGCCAAAAAAGGGATTAAGACAGAATAGATTGTCAACTACACATTAATAAAGCTTGAGGGGAAAAAATTTTTTTAATTTCTTTTTATTTTTTAAAAAGCAAGATAGATATCAAATAGCTAAACCACAGAAATACTAGAAAAATAAGATTAGCACATCCTCCTTTCAGAAGTTAGGTACAGTACTCCCCTCAGAGTAAGCTGAAAGGGGGAGCCACAGGACTGGTTATAAAGCTTCCAACCAATTTCGTAAGAGACATTTCATTACTCCACGCAGAACTACTGAACAAAAACCTGTATCTATTATTAGCTAAAAAATCTCTTTGTTTATAACGAAAACATTTTATCCTTCTGTTTATAAATTTTGCTAACATTTGTGTTTAAAATTGTTATTCTAAAATGTTTCATCCTGATAAAATTAGAAGCTCTTTTATAAACTCTAAAGTCCTAAATTCTCTTAGTAAAAAAGTAAGCAGCTGCCAAGAAAATACTATACATTTACATTTCCAGCAGCAATTAGCAATACACCTAAAGCCAACTGCAAGAGGTCACTGAGACAGAAAACTACACCCATTTAACTTCAGTTTAAAGAAAACATTTAGGCCAGGCGAGGTGGCTTTACGCCTATAATCCTAGCACTTTGGGAGGCCGAGGCAGGTGGATTGCTTGAAGTCAGGAATTTGAGACCACCCTGAGCAAGAGTAAAAACCCCATCTCTACTAAAAATGGAAAAAAATTGGCTGAACATGGTGGGGCACACCTGTAGTCCCAGCTACTCAGAAGGCTGAGGCAAAAGAATCACTGGAGCCCAAGGTTGCTGTGAGTTATGATAATGCCATGGCACTCTAGCCAGGGTGACAGAGTTGAGACTCTTGTCTCAAAAACATAAAAATAAATCAAAAAAAATTTTTTAACATTTATTTGAAAACACAGAGAGCAGCGGTTCTCAACCTGTGGGTCGTGATTCCTTTTTAACAATGAAAATACATTGCAGCATTAGGAAGGGTGAGAACCACTGACGTAGAGAAACACAAATTAGTTGACTATAACTTTTCTGTTCAACAATCATCTCTATGACAGGGAATTCAGACAGAATGACAGACTTTTCAACTGAGAAGAAAAACAAGAAGGTAAACAATGTTCATTTCACTAACCATATCTAAGCAGGTAAATGTACTTCTAGCAAAGGGATTTTTTTCTTAAGTATAATAAAAAAATATAAAATTTACTATTTTAACAATTTCAAATGGTACAATTCAATGGCATTAAGTACATTCACAGTATTGTGCAACCATCATCCATCTCTAGAATTTTTTCAGCCTTCAAAACAGAAGCTTTATACCTATTAAATAATATCTCCCATTCTTCCCATATCTGTAGCCTCTGACAACTGTCCTTCTACTTTCTATCTCTATAAATTTGACTATTCTAGGCACATCATGTAAGTGGAATCATACCATATCTGTCCTTTTATGACTGGCTTATTTCGCTTAGCCTAATGTCCTTAAAGTTTATCAACGTTGTAGCCTATATCAGAATTTCCTTTCTTTTTAAGGATGAATAATATTCCACTGTCTATATAGAGAATGTTTTGTTTATCCATGCATCTGTCAACGGAGAGTTAGGTTGCTTCCACCTTATGGCTATTGCTGAGAATAGTGCTATGAATATACATGCACCAAAATCTCCTTGAGACTCTGTTTTCAATTCTTTTGGGCATTTGCCCAGAAATGGAATTGCTAGATCATAAATTAACTCTATTTTTTGTTTTCTGAGGAACTCTCGCATTGTATTCTACAGCAGCTACACCATGTTTCATTCCCACCAACAGTCCACAGGGTTCTAATTTCTCCACATCATCATCATTTTGGAGTGGGGGGAATAGCCTTTCCAGTGGACGTGAAAAGGTATCTCACTGTGGTTTTGATTTACATGTCTCTAATGATTAGTGATGAGGAGCATCTTTTCATGTGTTTCTTGATCATTTGTACATTTTCTTTGGAGAAATATCTATGTAAGTCCTTTGTCCATTTTTTAATAAGGCTTCTTTTACTATGTTGAGTTATAGGAGTTCTTTATATATTCTGGATTTTTTTTTTTTTTTGAGACAGAGCCTCAAGCTTTCCCCCTGGGTAGAGTGCTGTGGCATCACAGCTCACAGCAACCTCCAACTCCTGGGCTCAAGTGAGTCCCCTGCCTCAGCCTCCCAAGTAGCTGGGACCACAGGCACCTACCACAACGCCTGGCTATTTTTTGGTTGCAGCCGTCATTGTTGTTTGGTGGGCCCGGGCTAGATTCGAACCCACCACCTTAGGTGTATGTGGCTGGCGCCTTAGCCACTTGAGCCACAGGCGCCAAGCCTATATTCTGGCTATTAAGCCTTAACCAGATATATTATTTGCAAATATTTCCTCCCATTCCATGGGTTGCCTTTTCACTCTATTAAAGCAAAGGAAATTTTGATATAAAGTGACCTAATGTCCCAGAGCCTATTGGTCCCAGAAAAATAGGATTGATAGTAAATTCTACACATAGACAAATCATAAGTAGGACCAAAATTAGAGTTACAGGAATTTGTAAATAATAGTTCCACCTTAAAGAAAAAAAATTACAAGATATTTCTTTTTTAGAGCAAAAATTTTTAATTTTAAGTGACGAGCTCCTTAAAGTTGTTGGATTTATTTATCTTAATAATAAAACAATTGTAAAAAGAAAAACAGTGTAACACAGAATAGTACTAATCTCTAAATTAACCAGAACCTTGCCTCAGTTTACACATGGGAATTTGAACCCCATAATCAAGTTATCTACTGCCACCTGATGGCAATACTCCTCAACTACAAGTTCAAATCACCTATAAATTGAATCTGCAAACAGCGATGGTGGCAACAGCACAGAAGTATATTTCATAGTTGGTTTGTTTTTTGTGTTTTTTTGGGGGGCCAGGGCTGGGTTTGAACCCACCACTTCCAGCATATGGGAACAGCGCCCTACCCTTTTGAGCCACAGGCACTGCCCTCATAGTTGTTTTAAAAACAAGACTTTTGGTGAACTTGATACAAGGGAAGAGAATCTTATAACTGTTGAAAATATTGAGCTTACAACCCTCTGAGGTACCAAAACTCACTAGCCTATTACAAAATCCACTTTTTCTAACAATATCCCTGGTGTCTCTCAGCCTCCTCACTTCTCCATAGGCTTAGCAAATTGAGGAAAGAAGTGTATAACATGAAGTAGGTTAGGAAATGAAAGAGACTTTTTCCACTGCTCAGGAATAAGGACTCTGCCCTAAGCCCAAGAAGAGAAGAACTTTATTTCTTTAACCCCTCATTTCTCCATTGAGCCCCTTCTCTGATTTGAAACATATCAAAATGCTTTGAAAAATAGGTTTTCCAGGACAGGCACAGTGGCTCACACCTGTAATCCTAGCATTCTGTGAGGCCGAAGCAAGTGGATTGCTTGAGCTCAAGAGTTCAAGACCAGCCTGAGCAAGAGCAAAACTTGTCTCTAAAAAATAGCCAGGTTTTGTGGCAGGGGCCTGTAGTCCCTGCTAGTTGGGAGACTGAAGCAAGAGGATCATTTGTGCCCAAAAGTTTGAGGTTGCTGTAAGTTATGACACCATGGCACTCTACTGAGAGCAACAAAGTGAGACTCTGTCTTAAAAAAAAAAAGAAAGAAAGAAAAGTAAGTTTTCTGAATTCTATCTATACTGCCTTACAAATCAACTTTTTATAGAATCCCAAAGAATGGGAGAAAATTATTTATCCGTAAGAAAAATCAGACTGTTAAACTTCCTCACAACCAATACTGAAAACAACACAGCACACCTACCTTAATAAGTCCACTGAAAGAGCGAGAACGGGCCCTCTTCTGTACTCGGGGAGTAGAAGGTTCTCGTCCTGGTGTTTGGGTCAAAGACTGCTTATTAAACTAAAAAAAAAAAAAAAAATGAACAAAGAGAACATTTTATTAATAGTCTCCCATCAAGAGATGGCATTCTGGCTCAGCGCCACCTGTGGCTCAAGTGGCTAAGGCGCCAGCCACATACACCTAAGGTGGCGGGTTCGAATCCAGCCCAGGCCAGCCAAAACAACAATGACAGCTGCAACCAAAAAATAGCTGGGCGTCGTGGCAGGCACCTGTGGTCCCAGCTACTTGGGAGGCTGAGGCAGGAGACTCGCTTGAGCCCAGGAGTTGGAGGTTGCTGTGAGCTGTGATGCCATGGCACTCTACCCAGGGGGATAGCTTGAGGCTCTGTCTCAAAAAAAAAAAAAAAGAGAGATGGCATTTTGGGACAATCAATAGCTAAGTGTAAATACCCAGAACAATCCAGGAGTAAATGAGTCTGTGCATATACGGATTATGAGGTCAACAAGAAAATCTCAAAGGTAGAAATGATGGTGCCAAAAAAAAGTCAAATTTTATTAATTTGCTCTGAAGAGTCTAGCACTTCACATTCCTTGAATATAGAAATATTATCCCTATTTTACAGACAGGGAAACAGAGACTAGGAGAATTTATGGAATTTGCCCAAGACTTCTAGCTGGTAATCAAGATTTTTTTGCATAAAGCACCTTGGACACAGAAAGTTACTGGTATAACCTAAAACAGACCTTAATTTGAATTTGACACAAATTAATCTTTTAAAGTTGTTTAAGCTCTTTAAATGAGTATCTATCATGATTGCCTGCCAGCATTATTTATCAATGCTATCAACATCAGCTCTCCATTTGGAGGAATCTAAAGCAGAAAAAGGGGCCAGGCACAGTGGCTCCCACCTGTAATCCTAGTACTCGGAGAGGCTGAAGCAAATAGACTGCCTGTGCTCACAGTTTGAGACCACACTGAACAAGTATGAGACCCTGTCTCTAAGAATAGCTGAGTGTTGTGAAGAGCACCTGTAGTCCCAGCTACTTGGGAGCCTGAGACAAGAGCATCGCTTGAGCCCAAGAATTTGAGGTTGCTGTGAGCTATGATGCCATAGTACTCTACCAAGGGTGACAAAGTGAGACTCTGTTTCAAAAATAAATAAGAAAAAAGGAAGACCCAGGCATTGTGTAGTCTTATTCAATGCTTTGTTTAGACACTAATTTCCCACTTAAAAAAAAATATCCTAGGGGCTCAGCACCTATAGCACAGTGGTTACAGCACCAACCACACGCACTAAGGCTGGCAGATTTGAACCCAGCCCAGGCCAGCTAAACAACAACAACTGCAATAAAAAAATAGCTGGTGTTGTGGCAGATGCCTGCAGTCCCAGCTACTTGGGAGGCTAAGGCAAGAGAATTGTTTTGTGGCAGGAGCCTGTAGTCCTTACTAGTTGGGGAGGCTGAAGCAAGACGATTGTTTGTCCGCAAGAGTTTGAGGTTGCTGTGAGCTGCAACACCACAGTACTCTACTGGAGGCAATGTAGTAAAGAAAAAAAAGCAAAAACAAAAATAAAACAAAACAAAACGAAAATATCCTAGGAGTGTCATCCAAAATAAAAACAAAATAATAATATAGTACTGAATTCTTCTACTCTTCTGCTTTTCCCAATCTGCTTTTAATTTTTAATTTTTTTTTTTTTTTTCTGAGACAGAGTCTCAAGTCTCACTATGTCACTCTCAGTAGGTGCCGTGGCGTCACAGCTCACAACAACCTCAAAATCTTGGACTTATAGCAATTCTCTTGCCTCCACCTCTGGAGTAGCTGGGACCATAGGCACCTGCCACAACACCAGCTATTTTTTTGTTACAGTTGTCACTGTTGTTTAGCTGGCCCAGGCCAGGTTTGAACCCACTAGCTCCGTGTATGTGGCCTGCGCCCTAACCACTGAGCAACAGGCACAGAAGCCCAACTGTACTTTTAAATTTTCTAGATTATAAATTTGTATATTTTTAGCAATTCAGGTTCTAAAGGCTAAAAATGACTTTTTACATACAAATACCAAGAGGTTCTCAAAGTTAATTATCTTAGCAGACAGAAAATTTAGTCATTTCCAAAGAGCTCAATTAGTATCACCCCTGAACACACTGCAAAAAGTAAAAACCCCATCGTTCCTGATAATGTTGGCAAGAGTGCAATAAAGTACGTTTTCTCATGCCCACCTGGGGGGGACTGTTAATTGGCAAAAAGTTCTGGGAAGCTATTTAGCAAAGTGTATTCATACTTTGAAAAAATGCACATTTGGGGCTTGGCGCCTATAGCTCAAGTGGCTAGGGTGCCAGCCACATACATAGGAGCTGGAGGGTTTAAATCCACCCCCGGACTGCCAAACAACAATAGCAACTGCAACAAAAAATAGCTGGGTGTTGTGGTGGGCGCCTGTAGTCCCAGCTACTTGGGAGGCTGAGGCAAGAGAATCACTTAAGTCCAAGAGTTTGAGGTTGCTGTGAGCTGTGATGCCACAGTGCTCTACCCAAGGTGATAGCTTAAGACTCTGTCTCAAAAAAAGAAAAAATGCATCTTGGGGAGGCTGAGGCAAGAGAATCACTCAAGCCCAAAAGTTTGAGGTTGCTGTGAGCTGTGACACCACTGCACTCTACCTAGGGCAACACAGAGACTCTGTCTCCAAAAAAATAAATAAATAAATAAATATGCATATTATAAAGTACACACCAAAAAACAAAACAAAATGAAAAAGTACGCACCAGCTAAAAAGTGTTCTTATTACTCCCCACCCCCAAATACAGAATTGGAAGTAAATCAAGCCTCTAGAAGTAGCTCAGTTAACAGTCAATATAGAAGACTGAAGAACATGCATAATATCACAGGGATGCAATCAATTAAATCCAGACCGTGGGAACAATTGGGTTTCTTCCACAAATAAAGTTCGAACAGAGTCATGCATTGCATAACGTTTTGGTCAGTGATGAACCACATATTTGACAGTGGTCCCACAGGGTTACAATGGAGCTGAAAAACAGCAGTATTTAAAATGTATGCAAGGAGTCTGCAAGTATGCATGAGAAAATGTTAATGCTATAATGTTCAGGGGAAAAGTGAGAGATGAAAAAACATTTATGGTATGATCATAACCATATAAAAATATAGCCACAGGAAAAAGACTGAAAGAAAGGCCTAAAATGTAAATACTAACAGGATGATTTATTTTCTTCTTTATGATTTCCTATCTTTCTAAAAAATATAAAACGTTTTTCCTTCATATTACCAAGAACCCTCAGTGTTCTTCTTAAGTCTTTTTTTTTTAGAGACAGAGTCTCATTTTATCACCCCTGGTAGAGTGCTGTGACATCACAGCTCACAGCAACCTCCAACTCCTGGCCTTAGGTGATTCTCTTGCCTCAGCCTCCTGAGTAGCTGGGACTACAGGCGCCCGCCACAATGCCCACCTATTTTTTTGTTGCAGTTTGACCGGAGCTGGGTTCAAACCCACTACCCTCAGTATATGGGGCCAGGGCCCTACTCACTGAGCCACAGGCACCGCCCAAGAAAAGTCATTATACTTGTCCTACATAACACTGCTGTTTTAGTTTCCATCAAGAATTAAATCACTAGACTGCTTTCAATCTACATTACTCAGCCAACATCCTGTAAAATTCCAGTCACAGCACAACTAGCTTGATCTCAAAGTAACTTCAAAGAGAGTGACAGAAAACTTCTCTTGGCCGGGCAAGGTGGCTCACGCCTGTAATCTTAGCACTCTGGGAAGCCGAGGCAAGTGGACTACCTGAGCTCACTCAAGACCAGCCTGGGCCAGAGCGAGACCTCGTCTCTTAAGAAAACAAAAAAATAGCCAGGCACTGTGGTGGGCGCCTGTAGTCCCAGCTACTCAGGAGGCTGAGGCAAGGGAATCACTTGAGCCCAAGAGTTTGAGGTTGCTATGGGCTATGACGCCACAGCACTCTTTATAATGCCACAACACTTTACCAAGGGGGACAAAATGAGACTCTGTCACAATTAAAAAAAGAAAAAGAGAAAACTTCTCTTGTTTATAGCTGGCCCTATGCTTGAGATTAAATAAATAAAAACACAGCCTCTTCTCCAGAAAAGGTCCCAGATGAATAAGAAGAGGCTTATTCTGCCTATTCAGCTAAAATTCAAGAGGGTTAGAAACAAAATAAATTTTCTAAGAAACTATCATTATCCAAACCACACGTTGAGAGTCCCAAAATGGCAAATGAAAGACCTAATTTTGCTCTCATAACTCCAAAACAAACAAGCTTACCTACTAGGTTCCTACTTTCTTTCTTTTTTTGAGACAGAGTCTCACCATGTCACCCTCCGTAGAGTGCCATGGTGTCACAGCTCACAGTAACCGTAAACTCTTGGGCTTAAGAGATTCTCTTGCTTCAGCCTCCCAAGTAGCTGGGACTACAGGCACCTGTCACAACGCCTGGCTATTTTGTTGTTGCAGTTGTCATTGTTGTTTTAGCTGGCCTGGACCAGTTTCAAACCTACCAGCCTTGGCATATGTGGCCAGCGCCGTAACCACTGTGCTATGGGCACTGAGCCTAGATTCCTACTTTCTAGTAGGTATCAAACTAAGATTTTGATTTATTGTGTTTTCTAACTGCAAACAAGTCAATAAGACCTACCACTTATGCTCTGCTATGCCAGCCACTCTATAAAGATTATCTCTAATCTTTATAACCACAAAACATGGACGTTACTATTACCATTTTACAAACAAAAAAACTGAAATTCAGAAAGTTATTGGCCAAAAAAATCTGAAGGGTATTAAACTTTGAAACAATATACTATAACTACTGGTCCTCTATCAGCAAACTTGGTACATAACCAAAGTTAGAGATACCCTACGCATACTTGGGTCCTATTTAACTATAGAAATCCAAGAGCCTCCACTACTTTCTTTAGTGGTGCAGTAGCACAGATATCACCACTGAGGTTCAGAGCTTGCTTCCTTGTTCCAAAGTTTGGCCCAATAACAGCCAAAAATTAAATGAGATGTTTTTGTTTGTTTTGTTTTTGAGACAGAATCTCACTTGGTCACCCTCATTAGATACCATGACATCTTAGCTCACAGCAACCTCAAATTCTTGGGCTCAAGCAATCCTCTTGCCTCAGCCTCCCAAGTAGCTGGGACTACAGGCACCTGCCACAACGACTGGGTATTAAATGAGGTTTTTAATAATACTTCCAACTACTTCTACAGCCACGGTCACACTTTCCTGCCTTCAGGCACCTGTCTGATAAGTTGTTTCTTCTTTGCTGACTCTGGCATATTGTGAACGTGCTGGAACAACTCTCTCAATGCCTCTTCCGTACGCTGCTGGGTCTCCTCCTGATGACAGCAGGAATCTACACGGCTCTGTGTCTGAGATTTTGCCAGCTGGAAGGACTTGGTGTGACAAGAAGCTGTCAGATCAAGGTCATCCTAAAGAAAATTTTTTAAAAAGTAAATTCATATATGCTGCAGGCTTTGTTTTCAGGTTTCCATAAAAAATGAAATAAAAAAGGGGGGAATGGGGATATGGTGTATTTTATACCCAGGAACAAAAAGAATCAATATTATCAGATAAATAAGAATGTATTACTATAGGTTATACTAATAGCCCACTCCCATGACCTGCCCATAGAACCTACATGCATTTAGAATACTGCCATCAAGTGTTACATTTGTTAAACAGTTCCATTTTCAAAGCATCTTTTAATCTCATGTAATTATCATGGCTATTCTATCAGGTAAACAGAGAAAATATAATCATTCCTATTTCATGGAAGAAAAAACTGAAGCTGAACTGTAAATTTAAAGTCATCTAGACACTAAAGTGATGATCCACCCTAGAGCCCAAGGGCATTGTTTCTTCTTCCCAAACACCAAAGCTTTATCTGACAACCACACGGCAGTGGTAGAGGAACTAAAACAACTCTCCAAGAAAAACCACACTCCAGTTAAACTCGTCAAAATTAAGTACTGTTTCCCTGGTCGCACTGAAAATTTGCTAAATGAGAAAGAAACAAATAGGACCAGAAAAAAATAGCATGACAGCTTAAGTTTCTAAACAAGACAGACTAATCAGAACTTGAAAAGCTTAAGCACCCCAAAAGTACTTGTAACCTCTTACTTTTAAGGCGCAATAATCATATGTAATCTTCTGTTAATAAGCATCACACATTTCCCAATCTAAGCTTGTGTGATCTCTAGTCTTTTAGCCATTGGATAGGCATTTTACTCTACCACTGAACCTAAAATAAGAATGAATTACATAAAACTGTACTTTTGTTATTGTAAAATATTTAATAAATTTGCTATTTACAGCTGGGAGCCATGGCTCATACCTGTAATCCTAGCACTCTAGGAGGCTGAGGTGTGTGGATTGCCTGAGCTCATAGGTTTGAGACCAGTCTGAGCAAGAGTGAGATCCCATCTCTAAAAATAGCTGGGTGTTGTGGTAGGCGCCTATAGTCCCAGCTACTCAGGAGTCTGAGGCAAAGACGATCTGTAGCTGTGAGCTATGACTCCACAGCACTCTACTGGAGGAGACAAAGTAAAACTCTGCCTCAAAAAAAAAAAAAAATTGCTATTTACAGATTGCATCTATCATATGGTGTAAGAATGCAGAAAGACTTTATACAAAAACTTTAAAGCGTCTATGCCAGCGGTTCTCAACCTGTGGGTCGTGACCCCTTTGGGGGTCGAATGACCCTTTCACAGGGATTGTCTAAGACCATCCTGCATATCAGATATTTACATACAATTATGGTTGGGGGGTCACCACAACATGAGAAATAGTATTAAAGGGTCGTGGCATTAGGAAGGTTGAGAACCACTGGTCTATGCCATCATTCTTAGGTACAAGATACCATCGACCAGTGGAGACCCTCTAAAAGCAGACAAAATTACTGAATGTGAGAGTATTTTTATTTTAACACAAAACTTTCTTCTTGGCTGGGCGCGGTGGCTTATGCCTGTAATCCTACCACTGTGGGAGGCCGAGGTGAGTGGATAGAGCTCACAGGTTTGAGACCAGCCTGAGCCATAGCAAGACCATGTCTCTACAATAGCAGGGCATTGTAGCAGGTGCCTGTAGTCCCAGCTACTTGGGAGGCCTCAGCAAGAGAATCACTTGATCCCAAGAGTTCTACTGAGGGTGACAAAGTGAGCGTCTCAAAAAAAAAACAAAACTTTCTTCTCAGTCCTTTTCTTTATGATAAAATAATTTTGAGCTGTAACACTAAAAATTCCTTATTTTCCATGGCTTTACTTTGAGTCCATACTTTGTTGTAAAACTCCACTCATCTTAACTATTTTCCTTGTTTGGGTTAAGAGCAGTTTCCTAGTCTTACCTTTGATACTTGTGTTCTGGATCCCAAATAGTGCAATCTGGCACATTCCCGAATATATGCAGGAGCCTGCACAAGACATAAAAGAAAACCAAGACCCAGCGGTAGCAGGGTCTAAAATTCTTTCAGACCACAAGGACAGTGGTTCTTAAAATTATTTGACTGGCAGATTTCTTTGGAAAAGCCAAAGATCCTCCAAATGCACTCTTCCTTACCTTCCTTTCTCTTGCCACCAAAGAGATATCTCAAAAAATCTGAGGGGAAGGCCAGGTGTGATGGTTCATAATCCTATCACTCTGGGAGGCTGAGGTGGGTAGATTGCTTGACCTCAGGAGTTCAAGAGCAGCCTGAGCAAGAGCGAGTCCCTGTCTCTACTAAAAATAAAAAATAGCTGGACATGTCTCGGCGCCTATAGCTCAACCGGCTAAGGCACCAGCCACGTACACCTAAGGTGGCGGGTTCGAATCCCCAGCCCGGACCCGCCAAACAACAATGACGG